ATATATATATATATATTCAAACTATATTTCTGATATAATCGACGCTAAAACTACCGAGGGCCAAAGTGTATTTTTTAAAAACTGAGTCAAAGAGATTAGAATGCACGGAACAGGAAAGGTTAGGTTTAGGAAATAAACGAACATTTTTATTCGTATATTTTACGAAAATCATTCGAGAACCTCTGGAAAAATGCAGCGCCGCAGGTCCTCCAAGATTATTCTAGAAAATCAGAAATTGATAATTTTGACTACTTTGGTGGTTCTAGTGTTGAATCTCGTTTGGCAATTAAATTCTCGGCAACGACATATGCCGAGCATAAAATTCAAGGCGTGTTTAAGTGAACGCATTACCGAAGAGTTGTCGAACGTTAAATGAAAGGCGTTTCTTCCTCGCGTGGCGTTGTCAAAGATGGACGTCCCGATTCGCGAAAGAGGCGCATTAATTCGGACGAGATTCAAAGCAGCGCTGCGATGGACAGCGGGGGAAAAGAAACCCGCCTGTTTCGTTATTCAAGCCGAGTAAAAGTATGTACTCGTTTTGGCGCAATTAACAAGCTCCGCCAGCAATCCTTGCTTCGAATGCGCGCGCGCGCGCGTGTGTGTGTGTGTGTGTGTGTGTGTGTGTGTACACACGCGCGTCGCTCCTGTTCGCTATCATACAGGGTATCTCCAATTAAGTGCTAGCCAATGTCTTTGTACAGAGGCAAAACGGACCGGTTCCATTCCTAAACAATCGTCACTAATAACCATCTGTCGGTAAATGTGTGAAATCACAGTCGAACGAACGACCGTTTCGAACGCGGCTGAAACTCGATCCGCGTAACTTCATAACCTTAACGAGCACAGATTTACAGGCATTTTTCGTATATACTTGCTTCTACGGGGGTGAATGAAAACATGCGTTCACTTTTCAAAAAATCGATTTAATCGTGCTTTAGAAGCAACTCGATTATACGCTATAAATTTCGTTGACATTGTAGGTTAGGAAATGTTGTGTTAACATTGTACAATACATGCAGCTTGCTCGACAAAGTAGGATGAATACGTACGCTCCGCGTCGTCACGGTGCGTTTGAGATTTTCAAAAATATCAGCAAATATGTCTCCGTCGCATTACGATTTCTACTTTTACGTTGCTTTTATATTAAACGGTTCATAGAGATAGATGATATCACGTGCAAAACTTCAAAGTTACAGGTTTGAGAAAATAACTGGCCTCGGATATACGTTCGTATTACATATTCTGTTACTAAAAAGTCAGCAAAAATTCCCCGGGTAAAGATTGTGAAAGTTCTTTAAAATTTGCTCATAAAATCGTAACACAGCGTTCGATACATATAAGAAAATGGCTAGAAAGACAATAACTTCCGTCTGACCGAAAATTTTTGTACAAAAGATTTATTATTTATTCAGGTTAATGGGTTAAATTTTTTGTATTGCAAAATAATTTTTTGCACAAATTATATACTTTCTATAAAAACAGTAACTTCAAGCTTCCGAGCCTGACTCTGACAGATTTATTTCTGAAGATTTTTTTTTATAAATGTCAAGAGATTTGACAAGAATTAGATAGATTGGAAATTAATATTTCATAAAAATTGGAAGTAACATTACTAACATTTCACGACATCCAGCCAAGCACAGTGTTTCATTTTGTTAAATAAAAAAACGTAAGCTAAGAAAAAGATGTTGAATAAGTTTGCTCGCGCCCTACAAACGTTCCACACGGCTTCCTTGCGCAAAAAGAGAAAGCGATAGCGTCTTCCTTGCCTTCTGTCGCCGAACGCGCGTGTTCTCTCTCTCTCTCTCTCTTGCGCGACAACGACACACGTTGTATGTGGACGTGCGTGGCCCGCGCCACCTCCCTCGGGGTCGACTGCGCGCATGCGCGAGCCGCGCGCGTAGTACACACGGCCAGCCGTGACGTCACGCGACGCCCGATAACACTTTTGTTGTCGTCGGTCTGTCGTCGTACGTATGCCGCGATTACGCGTGACGCACAGTCGCGCACAGTTCAGTCCCGGACACCGGCCGTATCTCCCGTGTGCTGAGCCGCGGATTCCATTTTGTTCGTCTGATCTCACAGTTTCGTATCGCGACGCGTACTCGAAGGACGCACACGAAAGAAACTTTCCAGCCTGGCGTTTGCAGTTCATTCGTCGAGTGTTTAAAGAGCAAATATTTTTACGTCACGTGGTAGTTGGTCAAAATTGGATTTCTGACTTTTTTTCTCTCGCGCGCCGTATTTCCACTCGAGAAGAAAGGTACGAGCAAGTGCAGCGTGCCGGCAGTTACAGTTTCGTATTAGCTCGAAAGTGAGTTCCAATCGTCGACTTAAGTACAAATCGTTAAAAATAATCCTCTTTTCAGCCGTTCGAGCGATGTGTAATAAATATAACGATGATTCAACAGGAATTTCTGTCACGTCGAGTTATTATAACTGCTTCTTTATTATATTCGCGATTGTAACGGATGTAATCTAGCAATAAAGTGGAACTTTGTCCGTCAAAGTGACAAGAGGGCAAAGCGTAATCTGTAACGAAGTTCTGGTTTCAATCGCAAGTGCATTTAACGAACATGTTGCGCGTGGCTGTATTGTTTTTTCTTTTTTCTTTTTATGAAGGTGAAAAACGATCGGGGGAGATAAAATATGTACCCTCCGTCGATAAAACAGAGCTGACGAAATTTATGTTATTAATTGAACAGTTATCGGCTGATAACTGCAACTTATCCGTGCAACACAACGGTTGCGTCACATCGGTCCGCAGGAAGTGGAAAAGTACCGTGCGGGGGCAATCTGTCGCGTGTAGCTCCTTTTGTTCGCGGCGAGAGAGAACGGAGACGCGCACCCGCGCGTGAACCATACGGCGATCCGTTGCAAAGAGGGAAAATGAAGGGAGCGTTGATAATCCAAACAGTACGTGTAAACGAACCAGAGCCGGGTGATAAGCGTATCGCTGATATACACGGTAAGAAGCATAACCAAACGCATAATGACGCAAAAGATCGTCGACACTTTAACACTGGAATTACCGAAGTGGTGAAAACGATCGATTTATAATTTGAGATAGAATCTTTTGAAGATTTAAATGATAAAGAGTTTTTATAAAATGTGTACAAAGTATTGCAAGGTGTATTGTATTATAAAGTTCACAGCAAATTTTAAATGGGTTGAATGGAAAACTTTAATCTTTATAATTAGTAAAATTTACATAAATAAAATTTTCCAGTGTTTTTATATACGTTTTTTTTTTTTTTTTTTTTTTAAAGAGAACACTCTTTAATTTGCTACAAATTTATATTTCATTCAAAATGAAAGCTGCGTACCTTAAAATGAGACTAACAATAAGTAGATTGTTGTATACTGTTTTTTCAAATTCCTTGTGAAATTTATACTCTGGAAGGAGTCTATGAAACGTTAATATGCAGCAGATGCAGAAACTATATTCGCATACTATCTAGATTCATTTTCGAGCGTGAAACCTCTACTTTCACAATACCGAGTTCGTTTCTTACGAAGATAACGTTTTACATCATTTCGAAGGGGGCATGCAAAAAAACTTTCTCTCTCGAAAATTTTTTACGCGCTGACTAAATCCACCGTGACCTTGAAGATCGAAGTCGTCTCCCCTTTACAGTACAGTCATCTAATGGTAAGATCTTTAAGTGGGGGTGTACATATTTTAACATAAAAATATTTTACTGCATAATGTAAAATATAATATATATATTAAAAAAATATTAAAATATTAAATAATATATTCAAAAATAATTTGAAATATTTTTAAAGGTAAAGTATGAAAAAAAAAAAAATGAAATATGCAATAGTTTTCGTAGGGTCAGTACTGCAGCTGATTTCGATGAAAAATTGCTGATATTTTAAACTATTATAACTTCGTTAACGAAGATCATATATAACAATCTACTTAGTTTCATTTTAAAATGTAGAGCTTCCGGTTTTCACTATCCTGAATCCATCCTCTTCAAAAAAAAGAAAAAAAAAAAAATACAAAAATTTACACGCATGTAAAAATACTGAAAAATTTTATTTGCCACCAAATCCTTCGTGGTATTGAAGATTAAAGTTTCTTTTGTTATTTTATTGAATTTTGAACTTTGAACGACAAAAATTCCAAAACTCCCAACATTTTTCCAAAGTAAAAAGTTAGTTTGTCCCTAGTAGGTCGAAGTTCAATAAAATAGCAATGTAAAAAAAAAAAAAAAAAATTGTACAGCAAGTTTTGATGGATCGTCAAAAAAGGGGAGATTTCAATGCTCGAAATGACTAGGTGGATTTGGTTATGAGCAGAAATTTTCTAATATCCTCACACACGCATTTGAATTTTTACAGTTTCCAAGAACAACGTATTTGAAAAAAAAAAAAAAAAAAAAAAAGCTATTTGAAGTGTAAGCTTTAAAACAAGATCTTGTTTTTACCAAGTTGTAACAGTCTTTTAGTTAAAGTGTCAGCAATTTTTCATCGTGCGTTCGATTATGCTGCTTATTGGATACATATAAGCGTGTAAAAACGTTTCGGTGATTTCCTTTTAGTTGCACATTCCTTTCAAGGCCTCTGCGAGGAACGGACGCAATGGCGTCTGACCCGGCTGTCCCCGTGCACCCACTTTCTACTTCGAGCAGTTTAATGTGGAGCTCCTCGATAACTCCTTTCCTTATTTACGTTTTATACGGTTTTCACGCGCGAAAGTGTTTCACGAAAATATTCCAAGGCAACACAAAAGATAAGATTATTTCGACTATTTCAACCAGTAAGAGAAGATCTTTTACATATAGGGTGTCCCGATAGTACTAGAAAAAGAAAGAATAAAATTTGACTCTTTTTAATTTCGACTATTCAACTTCAAGGGAAAATCGTTTTAAACACAGGGTGTCCTGTAAACGATCACCAGGTGCATTCTACGTGGAAAAACGAGTCGAAAAGGAAGAACAAAATTTTTTCGCTAAAGCCTTTGTTTCCGAGAAAATCGAGCTTAAAAACTGTATCGAGTATAATTATTATATAATTTACTAATTTAGGAAATTTACTGGACTGGCGCGAATATTTTACACGAAAAACTAAGGAAAAAGCGTAGAATAAAATTTTCTCATTAAAGGTGTCATTTTCAATGAAATAGACTTTGAAAACCGTCTTGGTACACGTGTACTTGATAAATTTTCAAACACGATTTTCAAAAAAAAAAAAAAAAAAAAAAAAA